CCATTGCGTAAGCGGTTTTTGCTTCGTATTCGAAGTCAAAACAATCTTTAAACCTTCTTGTTCACCAGCTCTTATCAAAAAGCATCACAATGTCAGTCTTCCATTTTCGTCAAGTTTGATGTAGGCGGCTGGCTCCGTACCTTTGAAAACTGCCATAGGAAAGGACAGTGTACCTCCTATCTCAATGCGTAATGGAGAGTCCTAGCATCGCATTGTCAGTGGCGCGTTCAATTTGAAGGCCTATAGGGCAGGAAGAATAATGAAATTAAGGTGGACAAGGAGCGTTTAACAAAGTAATGACGGTTCTTGCTGTTTTCATTACATCCTTAATCGTTATGCGCGCCTCCTCACGCCGGTCGCTTCCTCCTACTTAGTTCTGGAGCTAGTTCGTTTCACTTTTCCGATTTAGATACATATAGCGTGTGCCGATAATCCTACTTAAACGTGAAAAAAAACTTCTATCTGTTTTCGATGAGCATTGGCATCAGATTCAGTTCAGATCAATCTTTCCTCAACTGTCATCGCAATTGGACCGTATCCACTAAAGTCCGGTGTTAGCGGTCGTTCATCGAATGAAGATCGCCGACCACCACCTTTCATGTTTTCGTGATCGTACTGAGGTGTTTTGGCGAAAGCAGGTGGATAATGATTCCGCTTAGAATGGGAGATCTTGTTTGCGAGATCTTGTGCAGCTCAGTGTTTTTATATTTGAATAGAATGCTTTAACTGCCTATGGCTGTGAGGGCGGCTTTACTCTCAATTAGATCGAGGCTTTTTTCAAGCCGACTGAAGTGAGACAAAGTGACATTTTGTATTCTCGCGAACTTCGATAAGCCTTGTCACCGTAGTGGTAAATGTAGCTGAATCCTCTCAGAACCCTTCTTGCTTCCATGGTTGTCCTTCATTAACGTCCTTTCCATCCTAATCAATAAAAGTCTTCTAGAATAGACCACAAATAGCATAAAGACCGTGCCACCAATTCCAATGTCGCAAGGGCCCCTTCATACAGCAGCATAGTCCTGCTGGTCTTAAAACTTTGAAACGTCAGGTAACGAGATGACCTGACTGAAGAAGCATGCAAGCCAAGGAGCATCAGCCATCCCCATTTTTCCCACAGCTCATTTGCATTTGAACCACTGACCTTACGGTTCATTGTTTTTGTTCTGTTCTGGAGGACTATTGTACTTTACATCTCAGTATAAAATGCTTCCGCTGAGGGCGGTTTCTTCACGCTGGAGGGTAATTAAAATAGTGAAGGAAAGTGTATGAAAATAAAGCGTACGGGACATGTAATGAAGATGTCAAATGCGTAACCTACAAAAACTCCGAAATAATACAGTTATAGATGAACAGACCGTGGGCATACGTTTTTAAGATATGCTCTACATTACACGTTTTCTCTTTTCTGTTTAAATAAAATACTTTTACAAAAAATACAAATAACCGCTTTCTAATATTTATTAATTATGAACATTGGAAGAGTTCAAGCAATTGTGCAATTATTCGACATAAATATGTTGGTTAACATCTTTACAATCAACATTAAATTTCTTCTCGAGCAATCTCTTCTGCGGTCAGAAGTTTAACTCGCATATACGGTTGGGATACCTTAAGTTAGCCATTTTCGAAATGCTTCAACAATCTTATTACCTACATCCTTCGCCGGACCAGGATAGGCAGGAAATATTAATTCAGGTGACATCAGAGGAGAATGACCTCCCAAGTTATTAAACACGTCACTAATATCCTAAAAAATTGCAAATTTTTGGGGATTCACCATTGAAAATTGTTGTTTTGTGCCACCAATGCAGCCTTGCAATTACTCCTTCATACCTTTAACTTTCCACGTCCGTAAACTCCTTTCACTTCAGCAATGGAAGGCATTAAGGCCTACAACGACAATCTTTATTTTCATTATTAAGGTAGCTCTTCTTACAAGGTCGAATACGTCATGAGCAAAGAATTAGATCAGAAACAAGGGATTTTGTTGCAGTACCCTCTTCAACATGCTTAAATCTCTCTTTTTTGTCCAAGTCATTCGATATGTTATCACATTTTTTAAAAATTTGATAACATATCAAACAATTATAAAAATTGAGTTTATTAGTTTGATTAGTTTTATATCTTATGTAAATCTTTAAAAATTCGCTACCAGTCTCGAGAGGAGGAGGGAAAAAATGTTTCATGAACATACATACTACTCAAAACTATTGCAAAAAAAAACGTGATTTCACATAAAAATCTGTTGCAAGCGTCGCATCTGAAAGTTTGTGTAGAGGGGTTATATAACATCCTCACGCAAAGTTCCAGACGGTTCGTATCACAGTACACTTCAAATGTTACTGTAGTGTGGCATATACTGAGATTCGCTTGACAAGCTGAGTCTAACACAGCTTTTCCTTTCGAAAAATATCTATTTTGAAA